GAGGAGACAGGAGGCGCCCTTGGTCCCCCCTTTTAATTTTTAAATCCCCCCCCCCCCCGCCCCCCCCCACAAAAAATAAGAAGGAAAAACTGCTGTATCCCTCCCCTCACCACGTGTGCCGTACGTATCTCGAAAACAACGCGGATGCGACATCAACTAACGCGACGACAACCGCACAACGTATCGACCATGGCGAACGATCTCGGTGAACGTGAAAAAACCCCGAATGAAACACGGCGCACGAAGCCCTGTGGTGACCATCAGCGTGCTTAGCCACGTCCATCAGTTACTGGCCGAGTACTTTCTTTCGAGGGGGTCGCCGGGGAGGGGTCTGGACCACTTTAGCGAACTGGTCGCCTGTACAACGGACGAGGTAAGAGCGAGAGAAAGAGGTGTTCGTGCGGGCGTTCCCAAAGGGATGTTGTACTGTAGCGGTAGCTGTCCCACTGTTGTGTACGATCGTGACTCCGATATACGAGGGTGGTGTGACGAAGGCCCTCGACCCTCTTATATCGGAGCCCCCTATTGTTCAGGAATAAGAAAGTACATTTTACCTTATAGCGGGTCGAGTCCGTGGCAACCAATTTCGACCCTCTCATACCGGAGCCCCCCTGTAAAAGGTATATAGCCTCTTTTATGTCGAAGCCACGAACGACTGTAACACAAGATGACGCGCGCCCAAAGAAGGTGGTAGCAGTATAGTAGCATCCACCACTGCTGTGTGTAGTGTACAGTGGCGTGCACAGCGCAGCGTGCGTTCCTCTGCCTGCTGGTAAGAGCCAGCCCCCCGGTGCTAAAGAGTGGCGCGGAGGAGAGGGCAGTGCGTGGTATTGGTGTTTCCGCTGCTGTCGGCGACATGTTTTTCTTCTTCGGGCTGCTCTAGTAGTGTGCATGTTTGAGTGAGGCAGGCCATGGCTACTTCGTGACGAGCGGACATGTGGGCGCCGTGACGCGTCTTTTGTCTGTAGTACGGACGAGAGTCGTGTAGGCACGATGGAGTCGAGGCCGCTGAGGGCAGAGAGGCGCCTAATTAAGGCTCTGTTGCACCAGGTTTTGGTACGCTCTCGTTCTGTGGTCGTGCCGACGTTCGTGCGTGAGCCGTCGATTTTGTGGAAAAGTCGCGCACCTTGCTTTTGTTTGCATTTGATTTGGGTTATACCCTGCCACCCCCGCGATCACTTTGCACACAAACGGCGACGATTTTCTGCGTGTGATTGACGTTTTGATGTTGGTTGCGGTGTTGGTTCGTAGACATGTAGGCGGACAAACTGTTCTTGTTACCGTTGACGGGGGTTGGCACGCGAAGTCCTGTCAGCTCGGGAGGTGTGTTGAGTTGGTCGGTGCCTCGAGGAGGAGCGCGGCGTTTTGTTTTTGCGCGGGGTCCCACGAGCTTGCACGAGTCCCACGTCATGGTATGCATAGAGTTTTGGGGGGCTGATGAGCGGCGGGCTGATGAGCACGCCCTCCCACCTCAGATATCATCGATTGCGCACATTTCAGGCTTCTTTTTTGCACGACCACCCGCTCACAAGACATAGTGGCAACCCAGCTACCTACACACCTTCTGTTTGACCATCCGATCCTGCTGCGCGTGTTGCTGTCTTCCGATGCTGGTCTTGTACCCCCCTCCACCTCTCTCTGGGTGCAGGATGCGCGACGGCAGCTGGTGGACGACTTTCGAAGAAACGATGGCTTTCAGAGAGCGACGGCGGGCCTCACCCAGTCGAGTGTTCAGGAAATACTAGACGAGGTGCGTTTTTTTTTTCTGTAATCGATATTTTCGTAGACCGGAGAGTCTCTTCGTTACCTTGACAGGAGCACAGAAATAGGACAGGTGCGATGTACTTATGAGATAAGAGAGGCGGTGGCGTTTTTGCTCATGCATACAGCCAAGAACAACAACCTTTCTTCTTTCTTTCGCGCGTTTTTCTATTTTATTTCTCACGTTTTGTTTGCTTTGTTCGCCTTTTTTGGTTTCTCGGGCAGGGCATCTCGTATTTCCGATGTCAAGACTACGGGCCTGCCGGCGTTAGGTTCGAGAAGGTGCTGCGCGACGCCAGGTGTATCGGGGAGGGGAGGATGGAGGCACGAGCGCTGGGGAACTTGGCAACGGTGAGGTTTCGCGACGGGAGGCGTTTTGCCGCGCGTGTAGAGAACGCCGCCCCTCTCGAACATGAGGTTGATTTCGGCGTTAAGACGAAGAACCGTGAGGTTCAGGGTGAGCTGTTCCAGAACCCCCCCCCCCCCCCCGCACGCGCCTTCCTCAAGGAGGCAAGGTTTCACGACGTTTGGCCTAGTTTGGTGTTTGTGAGTCGCCGAAGTGTGCTTTGCCGCGGCACCAACGAGCGCTATGTCCAAGACATCCTTCGTTCCCTTCGTTCTTATGAACAATGCATGCTCGCTGTATTGTACGGGGAACTGCTATGGAGGCTGATACCGACATGGGCTCGTCTGAAAGCTATCCAACAGCCTCCTCCCTTCTCTTTTCCCCTCTTATGTTCGCGAGCACGTACGTAGCACTCATGGTTTTGTAGGGATTGTCGCGACCCGCACCTGTGTTGCCTGCCGGTGGCACATGGGCGTTATGCACAAACAAGAAACCGTGACGGGTGCACCTGGGCGAGTATTCTTTACCTGCGCGTATTGCTGATTTTGCTCTGACGCTCGCACACTTGTTTGTTCCTCCACGTTGCTAGGCGCGGTTGTATCGTATCGGCCGCACAAGATTTGTTCTTACCCCCCGTTTATACTTTTTTGATGATGCCTCCCGGGCAGGTGGATTACAAGACGCACCGCATTCCGGCGGCGATCCGAAGGTACCGAACGTGCGTGCAGCTGCTGAGACAGCAGGGGAACCAGGCCACAGAACGGAAGATCCTGAACTACTTGGTGATGTGCTGCATCGAGGCGCAGAGGTGAGGGAGTCTGATTCGTAGACGGGTGTCCCGTCGGCTGGGGCTGAAGAGTTGGGACGTGTTCGTGCCCCTGAACCGCAATGCCTTCCTTTGCAGCCTGTTGCTGTCGACATTTGAGATTGAGTGCCGACCCGACCGGCCAGTCGACGGCGAGTACATGACCGCCCTCCCCGCCGTCCTTTTTTTGTTTGTTCATGGCTTAGTTGTTGTTTTTTTGTATGGTTGCGTTACAGCAGTTGGCTTTTGCTTTTTGGACTGCCTACGCTATCCGCCCTTGTGTCGCCAAACGGACCCCAAGTTTTACCCCAACCATGCGCTGTCGATTTCGACTGTCTGTTTCCTCGCTCCTTTCAGGTGGGCGCCCGCGAAGCTTTTTCACGAGCAGCTGTCGAAGCTGGCGGAGAGCGAGCAAAATGTCCAGCTCCTGGGGCGGCTGCAGGAAAGAATAGAGGAGGGGATGGCTTTGCAGGTGCGTCCGTCCGCCCTTAGTGAAGATGAATTACATGCATGTGTGTGTGTTCTGATGGTTGCATCGACCGCGCTGACTGATAGATTACGTTCCGTCTTGTAAAAAGCGGGAGCAAAAAACGCCTTCTGGCCCACGGGCTCCCTTGAAAGGGGGCCTCGGGGAGGAGATTCGGACGACGGGGTCGTCTCTGTACCGAGGGTGCTTGAATTGAGGAGAAGGCGCGGCGACACCGCGAACTGCAGCACCCCGCTTGCGGTATCTATCTACTTCTCCCGCATTAGCATCCTCACCGTGCAGTCGATTAAGACCGAGCTCTATTCTCTCCGCTGGGCTCGGCACTAGCTTGAGCGTAGTCCCGGCTGCGGTAATTTCTGGACCTCTATTCGCTACCCTGCTTTGAAAGTCTATTCCTCGCGCGTCTTACGCCGTCGTTGCGTGATGACGGTTTTACATTGTGTGTGTGTCGCTCACTTCTATTCCATATAGACCGCGCGCGCGACCCGGCCGACCGATGAACGCACGACCTCGGCGAGAAGAATATTCGAAGATCGCTGATAAACCGGTAGGGTACGTGGCACATGACGTCCCCTTACGGACGGGGGCCCTGAGAGTAGCGTGGACAGATACTCGCGCGTGTGTAGCGAGGAGGAGGAGGAGGAGGAGGAGGAGGCCGCTGGCGAAGTTTTGTCGTCGGGGTTCGCTCCTGAGGCCCCCTCACAAGCGGACTGGCTCTTTGGTGGTCATGGAGGAAAAAGCGTGTTCGCACGTTTCTGTTTTTATTTTGTTCGCTCGTTGCACTCCACTCTTCCCCCGAGCATCAGGTCGCGCCGTTTCGTTCGGCTCCGCGCTCTTGTTGCGGGTGCTGTGTTTTAGTGGCACGGCAGCCAGTTTAATTCATACACAACTATCGTGGCGTGTCCTCGTGCTTGGTTCGCAGGCACGGCAAGAAGGGGATGCTGCTCCGGCTAGTAGCGGCGGGGGCGGCGGCGGCGGTGGCGGGAGCGGGAACGGTAGCGGGTTCCCCTTGCGGCGAAGAGGGACCACACCGACAGGTGGCGGGCCGGGCGGTGGCGGCGGCGGCGGCGGCGGCGGCATGTATTCACCCTCGCGGCTCCAAGGGTCCGCGCCGGTTAGCAGCGGCAGTGGTGACGGTCACGGCGTCGGTAGTGTGCACATGCCCTCGCAGCAAGGCGAGACGACACCGACGAGAGACGGCGGCGGTGGCGGCAGCAGCGGGATGTACTTTCAAGGGGGGGCTGCACCGGCTAGCGGGGTTTGCGGCGGTGACAGCGATGATCTGTACTTACCCTTCCAGCTAGGAAGGATCACACCGCCTAACTCCGGTAGCGGTCGCGGCGGCAACGTGTACTCACACTCGCGGTTACCAGGGGCCTCGCCGGTTAGCGATGGTAGAAGTGCGCACTTCATGCACCAAGGGAGCACACCACCTGGCGGCGGCGGCCGCGGCGGCGGTGGGTACTCACCCTCGCAGCAAGGAGCGACCACACGGACTAGCGGCGGCAACAGTGGTCCCGGCGGCGTGCACTTGCCCTCGCGGATTCCTGGGGCAGCACCGACTAGCAGCGGTAGCGGTGAAGCGAGCGGTGTCGATGTTTCGCACTTACCCTTGCAGCAAGTAAGGATCACATCGCCGCGCGCCAGCAACAGCGGTGGCAGCGACATGCACTTACCCTCGCCGTTACAAGGAGCGCCGGCTAGCGCCGGTAGCGGTGACGCGAGTGGCGTCGATGGTCTGTACTCAACACCGCGGCATGACGTGGCGGCACTGGGTAGAAGCCCGGGCGGCGTTGTTGGTTTACATGCCTATACTCAGCAAGCACCCATGACAGGCAGCGGTGTTGGTTTCCCCGGGCAGCAATGGGGAGCCCCGCCAGCAAGACGTGGCGGCCACGACGGCTTTTATATGCTACCCCAGCAGCCAGGGGCAGCGCCGGAGGGGACCCATCGCATCGGTGGCGAAAAGTTGTACGTGCGCCCCCGGCAGCACGGGGCCACGCGGGAGGGGGTCCACGGTGGCGTGTCTATATCCCGCCAGCCGCAAGGAGTCGCGCCTGAGGGGGTCCGTGGCGTTGGCAGCAGGGCCAGGGGCGTGTGTATTAGCCCGGAGCGAGAAGGTCGGGCCTCGCCGGTCGGGAGGCGGGGCGATGGCCACCGCGGCAGCGACGGCGGCGTTGCCGGTGCCGGTGTTGGCCGGGTCAGGGACGACTACGTGATGGTGTCGCCGGATCGCCCGCCCCCGGTTCCTCAGCCTCATTACGGTCCATACAGCAGCCGATGACAGGGCACTCGAGAGTAGGTGTCAAAGACGACGAGATATTCCGGCGGAGAGGGTGGGGTGGCATAGGGGCTTGTTTCGGTAGAGGTCTTGTTCTTATTTTTTTTAGCTCTCATGGAGAGTGCGCGCGCGTGGTGGGTGGGTTGTACTCTCTAACGCTTTCAAGTGACGGGGGACGCGAGCAGTCGGAAGGGCGCTGGGGAGGCGGCGTACGCTTGAAATCCCTGCGCGAAAACAGAGGGGCAGTGGTTCGGTCGCCGTACTACGAACACCGACTGCTGCACGGATTCTGTCGAGGAGGCGGTTTACATGATATTCTGACTACTTCCAAGGTATATATATTTTTTTGTGAGCGTCGTCCAGGTCTTTTTGTGTAATTTTGGGCGCCCTTATCGGCGGCGTTCTCTGAAGTTTTGTTTTCGCCAGGCGTCCGTGTGCTAATAATACATTATACATGAATCGTTGTTTTTCTCGGCGATAAGCTTGGTTGCCTGTAATTGTTGTAGAATTTTCCGGCGCATTGGTGGTAAGTTGGAACGCGCCTGCCGGCGATTCCCCCCGATAATTTATACGTGTACGACGTTTGTTTTCGTGTGGGATTTTCGTTTTCGTTTTTTTATTTTTCGTGTTTTGTACAAGATCCCGGTTTTATAGACTTACTCGCAGCAACAAGGTTTGTTTGTAGATCACAAGGTTGGCCTGATAATTGCCGTCGATCTAAGGCCCCATAAGTAGTGCGGGGCGACCTCCGCTTGTTGTGCGCCGCCTTTTTGGATTTTGTACTTGCCCTGCAAGCATCCATGTACTGCTGTGGTAGGTGGTTGTTTCGCGGCTAACCGTGCATCTTGGTGTGCTTGCCGCCCGTTTTATTGAGGTAATCAGCTACGTGCACAGCGACGGGAAGAGGAAGACCAGGCGATCATTCTGTGAGGTCAATACGATGATGATAAATTTTTAGTATGAGAGAGGGGTTCGTTGCTCTACACCCGTAGCCCGTAGAGTCGTCTGCGTTCAGGACCTAACACCCACCTACACCATAGGTTGTTTTTGTGGTGCATCTTGCATTCATTTGCCGTCGCCCAGGAAAGAAATCGATAAAGAGAGAGAGACGAAATGATGCTGCTGCACACTTACTTGCTGTTTGCGGCCCCCTTTTGTGGGGGCCGAACGGCCGAACTCACAAGATACCAATTTCACGCGGAGATGGTGGTCTAGTATGAGGCGGTCAGCACGCGCGGGTTCGCGTGGCTTGCTGTCGTAGTGCCTGCTTACCTACCACATAATTCTTCATCAGTCGTTCGTGCGGTCCTTCGCCGATCGGGTTCAAGGGCCGCCGAAATGAGCCGAGCTCACGTGTGTGTATGTGCCGAGAAGAGACGGTGAAGAGGTTCCATTTCACAACGGATTGCCAAGTGATGTGCGGGAAAGCCAATGAGTAGAATCCGAAGCCCTCGCGTGTATTAGCTGCTCGGGCGTCTCGACATGCGTGTATCAACCAATCATTGTTCATTCACATCAACCCGTTTGGTGTGGGGAACATTCCGCCACCGTCCCGCGGCTTTTGGGAAAGGATCTCTTATAGCCATAACTCTTCTTCCAGGCCACACCGTCCGCAGCATGTGCAGGTACAGCCAAGATGATATGTACCCACAACTTGTTGCAGGATGATTGTGGTTTGACACAACGGACGCTGCTGCTACATACACCGGCAACCGGACCAATTCGTTTGAAGGCAGAACTCTGCCTTTTTATCGTTTTCCCTCCAAGCCTCTGTCACAATGGGCGCTTCGTGAAACCGTTGTCGCCTTGCAGCGCGATGAAGGGGTTAATCGTCCAAACCTCTAGCCCATTCGGAAGTGGGCGTGGGCGTCGATGGCGGGAGAGTGCAGGAGTGGTAGGCGGCTGGTAGCACAGCAGTCAACAGTCACACGTCTTTTTCGAGAGTTGTAGGGGCTCCGGCGAAACGTAAACACGTACAGCAGTAGGCACCAGACCAGCGGATCCGGGCTGTGGGTTCCCCCGCAAAAGTTCACATGATGCCACACCATACGACGGACGCCGTGCGCTTTCCGCGATGAGGTTTACGTTCGGCGTGCTGCTGCTGATTTCTCCAGGGGCCCTACGCGTTAGATCGGTGGCACATGTGTGAGTAATTTTTTCAAATTTCGATTCGCTGGTGTCTCCTGTCTACTGATGACACACTACAATACAGCGCCGTAACATATCAGAATACCATACACCGTGGACCAATTCCAAAGCTCGATTACTCCACGACGAAGAGGATGCATACACCGAAGGATGCGTTTCCGGAAAGCACTCGACGGGACGGTTCCAACGCCGCCATTCTCGTCACCGCCACTTTTTTGACTTCATAAAGCGATCAAGCTTGAAAATCGATCCAGGGGGCATGGTATCCTAAGCGACCAACGGCACAAACTCTCAACAGTTTAGTTTGTATGCATACATTGTTGTTGTTGTTGTCTTCACATTAAAAACCATTCCGGTCTCCGCTCAGTACCTTCTAATGTCCGTACTGGTCCAACTGACGCAATAATAGTACACGTACATATCAAGCATGTTGCATGCAAAACTGCTGGTCTCTCTCGATGACCCTCCCACCCGGCTGGCGAGGAGATCCGGAATCGCTCGCGACGCAGACCTCTCCCAAAAGTTCGAAAGAGACAAAAAAACTAGGCTCTCGGAGAGGAAGGTCTATTGCGGCAGCCTGGAACTGTTTTGGCCGGCTGCCATTGCCCGAACTGATGAGGTCCCAGTAACCTTGGCAGGGTTCCGCTATTAATTGTGCATTTTGGATAAAGCATGCAATCGGGGAAGTTCAGTTGGGTGAGGGCTAGGGATGGGGTCTGCGTGACAACCCCCTCCCTGTTCTCTGTCCTCAATGCACTTGTTCATATTTTCTCGCGAAGGCGGTCCCGGCATGAGGCAGCATGGCGCATCATCCCACAGGCCTCGATATAAGGCTCGGCGATCAATCACCTCCATCGTTACTTACACATGGACTTACCTGGTGCTGGAGATGGACCACTGAACAACGATGTCTGTGTCTCCTCTCTCTTGCGCGCTTTATGCAGGCGCCGAAAAGCTCCGGTTCGGGAAAAGAAGGCGTACGACACAAGCGTGAGAGCTTTCTCCCCGGACGGTTCCATCTATCAGGTACGTCAACGTTGGAAGAGCTGTGTTGATGCTCATGTATGGTAAACGCGGTGGCTGTTTTCAACCATAGAGCGATCTGATGCCAGAGCTTCCAGCACCGCAAGAAACATGCCACTATGGCACCCACGTCGACGCAGAGATGGAAACAAGGCAAGCAAAAGTTGATCAACGTAGAAGTACGGATAGACGGATAGACAGGCACGCAGTCGGGCAGAGACAAGAGGCAACGAACTAGGTGAATAGAACTGCTGTAGCTGTAAACGGTTCCATATCAGCACATATGCACATGTTTTTGATGTATTTCTTTCCAGCTCGCTGCCGGCGCCAACGTAACCGACGGACACCAGAACCTCTTCCTGCGAAACTCGAAAGACATGTGAAGACGCCCAGACCCACAAGACAATCACGCCCGCCCACCCCCCAGGTGGAGTACGCCGTCGAAGCCGCGGACAAGGGGGGCCTGACGATCGGCGTGCAGACGGACAAGGGCTTGGTGCTCGCGGCGCACGGGCGGCGGCGCTCGCCGCTCCTCAAGGCTTCCTCGGTGTCCAAGATTGCCGACGTGGACGACGGGCGCATGTGCTGCGCCATGTCCGGGCTGCTCCCGGACGGCCGCTTGCTGCTCGACTACGCGCGGTGAGATAGTTAGGCCTCGCAGCGACCCCTCGCACGCACAGCAGTATGTTTGAGGCCGCCGTGCCTTCTAACGGAGGCTACCGTGCCCACCCACGGTAGTATTGAGTATGTCTGGGGACTAGGTTAACCCAGGGCCGATGCAGATGATATACAGTAGAACCTTGATTATCACACACCCCGGGCTCCTCCCAGCACAGTTCACAGTATTATATAGTGAACATAAACTGAACAAATGCGTGGCTCTCTCTCGCGAGGGGCCCCGCACTTGGACACCCAATAGCATACCCCCCTACACACGTACTCCCCAGATCGGATCTTGTATCCAAGTGCCCCAAACACCGTATACACAAACCTGTTCGGTTTGCTCATGTTTGAACCTGTTTCTTTCGACGTGCCCGGTATGTCTGTCGGCAGCCTCTCTCCGATGCCAACGTTTTTGCGAAACCAGGTCTTGACTGGAAGTGCGCCGACTGAGCGTGAAGATATGGAACGTATTTTTGCGCCTGTCACTCCCCCCCCCCCTCAGAAAGTGCTCCCCGTGTGAAGCTTTGTGGCACGACCGTAAAAACAAACGTCCCACCCGCACTATCTATCCAACCGTCCGTCCTCCCGTCGGCCGGTCGTTTGCTTGTGTCTTGTCTGTCGGCGGAACAAACGCGCACACGGCATCACGAACCACAACCACACATGTATTCATAGCACGTGGGTCCAAGAGCACCGGTTCGAGTTTGACGAGGCTCCTAGCGTGGAGGCGGTGGCGTCCCAGCTCAGCCGCCTGGCGCTCAAGTTCAACGGCTACGACAAGGACGGGAAGGCCGGTAACGGCGGGCGGGAGGAAGAGGACGGCGGCGGCCCGGCCATGTCTCGGCCGGTGAGAGCTATGTAGCGAAGAACGGCCCGGCTGTTGTAGAAGCTCGAAGAACGTTGTACAGGGGGTTGGTATCGAATGCCCCCCTGTTGTAGCTTGGCGATGCCGTACACTTTTTTTTTACGCGATGAATGCATGCACGGGGTGTATGTAGCGCGGTGGTCTTTCTGACTTGCTGCTGGTACATTCACTTGCTTATAGCCCGCTTGTGCACCACCGATCAAATCGCTGCTTGGTTATTTTTTCCTCGCCAGCATGAAACGATGGAAACTAAGGCAGAAAACCCGTTGTTGTGTGCGAACGCTTCTTCCCTTCTCGTTTGTTGTATTCTGGTGTCAGGTGGGCGTGGCCCTCCTCATGGCGGGAGTAGATCGCGGGGATCGGCCGGTGCTGTACCACTTGGATCCTTCCGGTGAGCAGCGGAGGAAATTTTTGCAGGGCAGGCTCACTTGTTGCATGCTTCGACGTCAGCGGATGTCTTTGAAGGGAGTGCCGCGAAGTGATGGCACACCGGGCAGCACCCGACGCCTTGAAGTACCGGGGTTGTACAGCAGGATGACTTCGTTGAGTTTTTTTTTGGGGGGGAAGGGAAATTGGAGGGGGCAGGAGTCGTTCTTTGCCTGCTTGCCTGAATGATAAAACGCGTTTTTTGCTACACCGAGGACGTGGCACCGCTTATATTCTCCCCTCAGGCACTTCCTTTCCAACATATCGGCGCTCATTCCATCGTCATGCTTTTTTGCACCCCACCTTGAAATGCCCTTGTTTTACTCGTCGCAGACTCCTCCTCCTTTGCTCTTTTGCCGTTGTGCGCTGAAAAGGCGGTCGGTAGCCGCCTCAACTATCGTGGCATCCCCAGCCTTGCCGCTTGCCGACCTATGGGCTTTCGTTGTCCTGTTTCCTCACTATTGGTCCCACCTTTCGTGCGTCTCGCGTAGGAGCCTACGTGCAGTGGAGGGCGAGAGCCATCGGCGACAAGGGTGCCGCCGCGGAAGCAAAGCTGGAGGGGGTTGGCCCCTTCGAGGGCATGAGCGTGCGGCGCGCGATGGCCGCTGTGCTCGGGGTGCTCCGGGAGGTGCTGGGTGACGACGAGTTTTCCACGGACCGGCTGGAAATGGTGTGCGTGGACATGATGGGCGGCGGGCGTGGCAGCGGGGACGGGGGAGGGGGAGAGAGGGGGGTATGTTCGCCAGGCGCGGAGCACGGCGCGACAAGCGCCAGCGATCACGATAACGTTGGTGGTGGTGGTGATGGTGCTATTTCTGGGCCTCCTTTCGCTGGCGAGGGGTCGTCGGTTAGTGCTGCACCGCCTTCGTTGTCGGGAGGGGGGGTTAACGACGGGAGCGCTAGCGGTGTTCGCAATTTTGTCGGTCGAGATAGCGGCAGTAGTGGTGGTGGCGGCGTGCTAGAGGGGGGTGTTGAGGTTGGGCGGGAGGATGGGTCGTCGGCAGCATCTGGCGTTGGTCGTTCCTCCGCCGCTGCTTCTTTTGTGCCGCGCTACGGTTATTTTAGACGAGTGCCCAAAAGCGAGATGGATGAGCTGCTTGCTGGAAGCACCAGAGGTGACGGCGAAGAGTCGCCAACAGCAGCGAATGGCTAGGAAATTTGTTTACATAGTTCGGAATGATGCGGAGGCGTCATTTGTGTTGTATGTAGCTGTTGGGTGTTGTTAAAAATAGTGACGTGGTGCGAAAGATGTACTATAGAAGCAAGCGTGTCTCGTAGTGGTTTCGCGTTGTTGATGTGGCGTGTCCCACCTGAACATTTCACATTTAACATCAATGCGCGTTGTGGCGCAGAAGCTTTCCGGCTCAAAGATCGCACCGTCATGGATTGCGCGAAGTCCATGCATGTTGCACCTGAGATGTTCTCCCACCGCCTGTGTAGGTCTGTTTCTTGTGTGAGTGCGTTGCACCCTCGACGAGCTCACTTACTCCTACTCTAGTCCCACCTTTTGCTGACAGAAAGTTTCTGCTGATATGTACGCGTATGACGCTGCCACGGAAGCTACCGAACGTCGGATGTATTCCCACGCGGGCACTGATTGGCGTTCCGTGCAGTGAAACCTAACTATTTCTTCGTACGAATTATTGGGTGTGTTGTTTCCGGAAGAGACGTCTACACCCTCTGCCCTCTCCTCTTATTTTTAATCTCGCTATCGTCTGGGACCCCCACACTGCTCCACTGAACGTAACAGGTAAGTGCCTGCACGTGTCGTTACTGCTGCTGGTACTGCGTATCGAACTGCCACTTCAAATTAAAAAATCACTAAGGGGCTCCGTGAATGTACGCGGGGGCGCCGTGCGGTACGCCACGCCGCAGAGCCTTCATCATATGCGCACGACGTGTACACCCATAAGCGACGAGCACACCCACCACTTTCTTTGAGGGCGCGTTGTGTGGGTGTGTCACCTGTCGGCGACATGAAGGTCTCAACGCCACGGTTGGCGCTCAACCACCTTGCCCTCTCGTTGCTCCTATTCTTTTCTCCAGCCTCCGCCGATCCCGCACCCGTGACCGATCTTACAACAACAGTTGCTGCATCGTCCGCCGGCGACGGTGGACTGGGCTTGAGCTACGACGAGGGCCTCGCGAGCGTGATCGTCCGCTTGACGGAAGCCGCGTACTGCACACCGCAGCTCGCGTCGTGGAGCTGCAAGGCCTGCCAGCACTTCCCGGGCATGAGGAACGTCACCGTAATCAACGGCGAAAAGCGCAACGTTCGGGGCTTTGTGGGAGTCGACATCGGGGACGCCGAACCATCAAACCGGTACACTTCAACTACGCGCGGACCCGGCCCTGACGATCGACGACACCTCCGTGCTGCAGAGGGCGACGACAGGGACGCGGGCGGGGCTGCACAGTCCGGTAAAGCGCGCATCGTGATTACCTTTTCGGGGACGGACCCGAGCAGCGTCAAGGTATGTTCGTTGGAGTGCAACATTCATATTGTGCACTACTCCGCTGCGCTGCTGGTTGGTGCCTTGGGGATGATGAATCAGTTCCTGAGCGCGGGTGCTGCTCCAACCACCCACTCCAATGGAGGCGGGTTGAAGACCTCAAATCAGCAGTGTACAAGAGGATGAAGTTTTAGGACACCATCTCGTAGCAACTGCTTATTTAGTTCCACACACATGAGACATGAGACCGAAATGTAAGCAATTTTTCGAAACAAACGCGGCGAGAATTCTTTGGGGTGGCCAAAAAGAGGCAAGAAAAGGAAGGTTGTTGCAGCCGCCGGACCTCCCGTGAGCAGAGAGGCTTGTGGACGAGTAACACAACAATCTCTCGCGGTCCCTGTCCCCTGTCCTGTGTAGTTCCAGCAGTCTTAGTTGGCCCCAACCGACCGGCAGCAGCAGGTGGCAGCACAAACGATTGCATTACTGCAACACTCGCTGCTTTGTCACAAAGGGACCAGAGAAAAACGCCCAACCGGCGCGTGACGACCATTGCAGTAGTACGCCTACCGTAGACTCCTCCTTCGTGTCACCTGACCACGTGCTGTCGTCCACCTACATCTGCGTTAATGTTGCTGTTGGTAACCTATCAACACTGTCTTTTACGCGTTAAGTCTACTCTTAAACCTACCGACACTGTATACTGCTGGGTTTTTTTCGCGACGCAGAACTGGATCGACGACCTGGAAGCTACTACCGTCCCCAACACGTACGGGGGGTTGTGCGAGCAGTGCCAAGTCCACCGAGGCTTTCTAGCGGCATATGATCTGGTGAAAGACCAGGTATGTATAGTAGTGTACTGCTGTATATGCATGCAGACCCAGTGTCATAGTCGTCAAGTCCCTAAAGCCTACATACAATTTAGGTCAGCTCTGAAGGTCGTAGTGCGATGCGAAGCGGTACGGTATGCAAAGGTGATGCGGTGTATGAGTTGTCGGTAATGGGGGTCGCTGTCTGTGCGGAGAGGATCACAACACGCCTCTTTGAGTTTCCCGCGTTCCCCCTCCCTCTCCGTGCACGTTGTCGACTGCATCGACCAAAGGTCCGCTACGCGATTGGGCAGCACATGCAATACAACCCGCACGTCCAGATCCTCATCACGGGCCACTCCTTAGGGGCGGCGCTGGCCGTGCTCTGCTTCTTGGACCTCCGGGTGAACAGGGGTCTCGGGCAGGGACCCAATTCGTCGGTCTCCTTCGCACCTATCTACCTCTTCGGCTCCCCGCGGGTACGTGGGTGTGGGGTGTTGGCAACCAAGCCAGGTCGTTGGTTTTATGTGTCATGCGCGAACAGCGCACGGCCGTCCACGCCCCGGTGCGAAAGAAACAATCGACGCGTCGCTCGTGACCTAGTAGCTACGGGTTGCGTGGTGATTAGTTCGTTTCAGTCTTTTTGTCTGAAGCATGTGGTCGAGGGGAGATTTTGAGCCAAGCCTTTGGGAACGACCCGCTTGCTGGACGGCGCTACGCCGCTACTTCATCGATTGCACACACAGGTAAAACACAGCCGGGAGGCGCCCATTTTCTGTAGTCTTGTTCGATGACGTGGCTGACATCTGGTACTCTCCTACTACTGCGATTTGTCTGGCTGCTTTGTGTCTGTCTCGCATTGTTCCGCTTGTTGTTTTCCCGACTGATGGAACGGGTTGTTCCGCGTGAGCCAAGGTCGGGAACGAAGCGTTCGCGACCTTGACGACCCGCCCGGGCGTTTCGATCTTCCGGCTGGTGCACCACCGTGACCCGGTGCCGCACCTGCCGCTGGAGGCCTGGGGGTACCACCACCCGCCCACGGAGGTGTTCTACACCGAGGACCAGTCGAGCTACCAGGTCTGCAACAACAGCGGGGAGGACGACAAGTGCTCGAACCAATTCTGGGTGAGTTTTGTGGAGTACCTTTGCCTTTTGTTGGTGCTGTTGTGTTTCGGCGATCAATGCTCTCGCGTTCGTGTGTGACTTGGGATTGCGATGTTTGTGGTTTAACGTGTGGGCGTGTAACTTTGTTGGGGTAAGTAGTGTGATCTGGTGGCTATGTGCGGACGGCGCGTGGTTGATGGTGATTTTGCGGGTCTCCTGTGCATCTTGTATCCTGGACCCATCAGCAGCAGCAGCAACAACAACAGCCTCAGCAGCAAACGAAATTCAGACTTGGGCATTCGTGATTGAACATGTGTGTGCGTTGACGTGTATCTCGTTGTCGGTCAAATCGGACCAAAACGATGACGCTCAATGAATCCCTCTCCCCGCCGCACTTTTCGACGGCTGTATCCTGAGAACATAAACGCGATGACACCCGGTGAAACCAACGCCCTATACGCCCTTGGCACGCCACGCCACACCACAGGCGATTTTCGGCAATATTGAGGACCACCTGTGGTACCTGGTGGTGAATTACAGCACGGCTTACATGCAGTGCCAGCTCGACGGAGAATCGCGAGCGGACAGAGAGACGGCGCCGGCGCTTGCTCCGCCGGCTGCGGTCGCCTAAGAACCGGGCCACAAGGGGTGTGATGTTTGTTTTTTGACGGACGACGGCGTGACGAGAGCACCCGTACGAACGGAGATGGGCGCAGGAGACCACATCGTTAATCTCACGGCAGAGGCAGGGGCCACTATCTACCTGCGTGTATTTGAACAGGCCGTCTTGCGTTCGACTCGCCCAGAGGGCTTAGGACCAAACGGAGGCGGAGGCTTGGGCAGCACGTAACGGACGCTGCGGTTGCGGCTGGGCTTCCGTCGCCTGCTGTGGCGACAGGGCCGTTGCTGTCGAGTACGGGCTATGGTTACAGGTGTTCTTGGGACCAGGAGGTTGCAAGCTCTTTATCCCGTCCTAATGGAACCCGGATTCTGCGCTCGTAGCGATTGGTAGATTGGGGGGGGGGCGGGGCCGGGGCCGGGGCGGGGGGAGAGAGCTAGATTCAGGTGATAACCCGAATGACAAGAGAAGCGGCTCTCAAGGGCGGAGGCAGAAGGTTCAAAAGTTGCCGTCGACTGCTGAGGGCGTAGCCGCAGCCTTTGTGTCAGTATTCGGGGATGGTTTAGGTTTTATCATGCAGGGCCCCTTCAGTACCCAACCCTTGTTGATATTTTTTCCATTTTATTGTTGCTGGTTGGCACCCCCTCCTCCGGTAAGGTATAGCAACCGGCGGCGCTCCAATTGTGCGCGCCCTGGTTGATAGCGGATTGTTTTTGGGGGACAGCCTGCCTACGAAACCTGGTGGAGGAGTGGGGATGCCATGTCATCAGAGCAAGCAGTGGTAGGTGTGGTGCGGAAGACTGTAGGTGTGTGCCGAAGACTGTAGGTGTGGTGCCGAAGCACTGTGAAGGGAGTGCTAATCTCACGCGTTGGGCAGTCCCTGTGCATGTTGGGCTGGTTGAGGAGTCGTGCAGGTTTGGGGCCGACAATGGCGCCTTCGAACCTCCTGTGGGTGTCTGTTGGGTCGGTGTTGCTAATGGTAACTCGAATCCCAGGAGAGGCCACCAGACTGTTAACAGTGTAGCGTCTCTGCAGCCGTAGGGTTGTGCCCCCCTTTGATGAATATCCAGCAACGAGTATTTCAGTTCGACAAAGCTTTTCTGAGTAAGAAGTTGTCCGCAGTTTTGTTGGGGGGGGGGGGTCGCATCCTTGCAGGGGATGTTGATTTGTCCATACATATTTGTCTGTAAAAATGGCGTCCGCATTTGCTCAGATTAGGAGTCACGCAGAAGAATTTCTAGCGGTGCATGCCTTATACGTCGCTTTCCAAATGGTGGGCGGGGTAGCATCTCGTACATCCGGTGAATCATCTGTACGAAGTAGTGCGTGATTGCCCGCTAAGCAACAAGCGGCAAGAACAAAGAGAATATCAGGGGCGGTGTTCGTTCGTTGTTCTTATTTGTCAAACGGTCACGCTCGGTTTGGAGGTGGCAAGGGAAAAAAAGCGGCGGGGTGTTTGTCCATCTTGCTAGGGGAGACCCCTTGAGGCACCCGGTAGTGAGTAAAAACAAGAGGATTTTTTGTGGACCTGACGGCCTATGCGTAATGCCTAATTGCCTTCGGCAAGGTCCAGCGGAAATTAGGCGATCTGTTTTGCTCATCACACGAAACGACGAAGATTAACCCCCCATGCGCCCTGCAAACCATGCTATCCGTCGACCCCCGCTGTCAGAAAAGGGAGGCGGAAACGGGAACTTGCTCAAGACGAGAAAAAACGCACCTGACTACAAGTACCCCGGCAAACAACCGTGCTTTGAGATGAAACGATTTTATTCTGCTGACAAAAACGCAGCATTTGAAGACCAACTTCCGTGCCCGCTTTCGGTCGAGGTCGGCTTTTCTTTCGCTGTACTGCTGTAGGGCGGAATTACTCTGTCTGTTCACTTCCTTACAATTACCCCGGCAAACTGCTTGGAAACCAAACGATTTTTTCCGCTGATGAAAACGCAGCGTTTGTCAACCGTGCCCGCCATTTGGCTGGGATCGGCTTCTCCTCTTTCACTGTCGGGGGGATTTCTCTGCTCCAAAAAGGGCAACGGCAACTACAGCGGTTATGCGTTTCACGCCGACGGCTGCAGTCATTCTTCAAGTTCATAGTTTAGCGCACAGACCAAACCGGGATTCAAGTAGAGAAAAAGAAAAATGCACTGCTTGTGGGCACTACGAAGCGAGCGGTACGCCAAAATTGAGCCCAGCAGAAAACCTCCAACCTAGCTGTCTAATTAGTCGCTGACAAGTCACGCGAAAAAAATGTCCCAACCATCATGGCGACCAAGTGATACAGCAAACAGCGACACCCTGGAACACTGTCACAATTGAGTGAGCTCGTCGAGAGCCTTCGAGGCTAAGCGCTGACGCAGAGAGACTCGGCAACTATATACTCAGGGTAGCTCTGTAGGGCTGTCGAAGCACTCTCTACCCTGAGCCCACCTGCACAAAGAAGGGGTGTGATTGTGCGGAACCCCCCCCCCGATACTCAAATCCGATATCTCTCTTTCCATCTCTCTCTCCTCTCTAAAAGGTGTGGTCTCTTGGTAATTCAACACGCAGGCACCTCCGCAGGTTTTAAAAATGACTGTAACATAAAATCGTTTACAACACCCAAGCCTCCAAACTACCTACCTGTTGTTCATACGTCGCAACGCCGCCCGACTCGTGCCAGTCTCTGTCTTATTTTGTTGAGGCGATTACAACGCAGCACGGCCCCCAAAAACGGCCGTCAAAATCTGTCGTAACTGAGCGTAGCTAGCATAGCTGTAAAAATAAAATCGCGTCTTGCAAACAGATGCATGCGGAACGAATCCCTCTCTCTCACGCACACTCTTCCTGGTCATTCTTACTAGCCCTTGCTTCGCCGAAGAGCAAAAATCGGTCACAACGCTCGTAAGAAGAAGGCAACCGGATTCTCTCCAGCATCACGCACTGGCTGATTATCACCGAGAGAGCAGCACACACCTCTTCCCGTTACTACAGGCGAATACGTTCTTGCTTACATTACGAGAGTTTTGAAACCGTGCCAACCCGCCCGGCTCACAGCGCTGTTAATTCATTCGCAGGAACGCGCGTTGCTCATCTATCGACGACAGCAGAGGAACCGAAACGCCCTGCTCCACCCCTCCACCACCCGAGTTCTCCCGCCATAACGCCGGGCGCGAAGCAACAGAGAAGGGCGGGTTGCCGTGTTTGCCAGTAGCTCTACCGCCCTCCGCATGCAAGCCCAACGCCGCGATCAAACCTAATCTGGGGAGCGGGTACACGAGAGGGTCGTGGAACGGGCACGGGCGAGCAAGTGAAGCTTAGGGGCGTCGAACCACCACAGAGCGTTCGTTGGCTGCAGTCAAGTCGCCTTCGGGTGGTGCCGACGACTGCTGCCGGCTGCATCCCGAGCTCTCACACACCACGCGCGGAGCGTCAACTAGACCCGTGGGTTGTGATAGCTTTTGACCAGCTGTGACGATGCATGGCACGCTCAACTGGATGCCTCTCTTTCTACGGCTCTGGGACCAAAACTCCCCAACCAAAGGGTCCCCAGAATGGACGTCGGTCTGGACATCTGACGCAGTTGAACTATGTACATGTAGATGCCATCAGTCAAACATTAGAGGAACTCGAACTGCTGCGAATGCCAGCGAAGAGATGGTGTGGTGGGGAGAATGTACAGAAAAACGTGGACCTAGAGGAGTGGGCTTTGAGCTAGAACTTTGAAAGTAAATGGGTAATGTACCTCAGTTCGCAACCAAGGCACCGCCGTACCGAACACCGAACGGTGGGAACATCCTGGGATGTCATACTTGCAAGTTGGTCTCTTGGAAGGTGACTGCGAGTGCAATGTTTATGTTTTTACTTCGAACGTAGAATAGCAGAGCGCGCTGCCGTTTTCGATTGCGTACTGCGGTAGCGATGACGTCAACAGGAACGCCTTCCTGAAGGAGCTCGAGAAGCCCGATGGCAAAAGTGGTAACCATGTGTAGAACGAATGCTTTGCACGCAGAAAGCACACCCTCACACCCACACACACTAACCTGTCGATCTCCTAGAACATCCGCCTTTTCCTAGCCCTATTTCTTCTTCCCGCTCGAAGCCGCCGCCGTGGCAGCGGTGGCCCTCTCCTCCATCTTGACCGAGATGATCGACTTGGCCGTCTCGTACGCGCCGAAGAAGATGGCGCCGCCGAAGGCGATGGACGTCATCCTCGGCACCGACCCGGCGAACAGCGCCCCCGGCCCCTCCTCCTTCAGGATTGATCTCAAGCACCCGCCAATGCCGGCGTACTGCCCGGGGCTCTGGGTCATGAGCCGCGTCTTGACGACGTCGAGCGGGGTCGTGAGCCCGGCGGCGATGCCCCCCGCGACCGACCCGCACAGGGAGCCCTGCCAGGGCGCCAGCTTCTCCCCCTTGACCTTGGTCCACTCGCTCTTGAACCACTCGTAGAGGGGGAACTCGATGATGTCGAAGGGAAGGTCGCGCAGGGCCAGCGCGCCCCAGCCCCGGTAGAGGCCCCTGGGCCCCTGCGACTTCATGACGCTGGCGAGGGCGGCTCTCCCGGAGGCGTCCACGCCCGCCTGCACCCGCTGCTTGATGACCTCGAAGGGCACTCGGACGACGCTCTGGGCGAGGTCCGCGCCGGCCGCCGCCCCGGCGTGCGCGACGGAGGCGTAGTCTTCCGGCAGCTTCTCCGTGAGCACGCGCTTGAGGGAGTCGTAGGCGCCGAAGAACACGGCGGCACAGGGAGCGCTGGCGGCGATGGCGGGAGCGACGCCGTTGAAGAGCCCGCGGAACGTGTTCATGGAGAGCTTGGCCCCCGCGGTCGCCTGCAGGCGCGTCTTGACCGTGTCCAGAGGGTACAGGACAAGGTCCACGGTGGTCCCCGCCACGGCTCCGGAGAGGAGGCCGGTCACGAAGCTATCCTTCGTGCTCAGCTCCGGCAGCGCCTTGCTCTCTACTGCCGCTTTGCTCTTCTTGCCCTTCCCCGCCGGCAACTTGACAGTCCCCGCCTTCTGCGCGGCGTTGCTGGTCGGCAGCGCAAGGAGCACCATCGCGACGCATCCTGCCAGGACCCTCATCTGGCGTGCAGCTCAAGCTACAGTGGCAGCGACAAGCAGCGCCCTTTCTCTCTTCTCTGTCGGCCTTGTGCTGCTAACCCGTCCCTGGCTGCCTGGTTCATGTGTATGTGAGGACAGCAGAGGAGGCTCGACGGACCGGAGTACAAGGGGTGACCGCATTACTGCAGTCCAGTGAAACACGGAGCCCCAGACCGAGGAGAGAGGACGGACCACACCCGAGGACCCCGGTTTACCAATTGTTCTTTGAATTTCAATTTTTTCAGACTATTTTGTTGATTGATGTGAAGGACGCACATATCTGGTCTGCCTGTGCGACAAGGAGTGGCGTGGGACACGGAAGGGAGTTACGGCACAACGGAGTCGCCGCGCTCTTGCTCTGAGGGAGGCATCCAGCCACGACCAAGGGAACGCATCCAGGTACTCCGAGGTGGGGTGAAGGTTTTGAGTACTGCTGCATGCAGCTGCCTCTGCGAAAAGGCTCGGCTGGACGGATCCTTGGAGTACGTTTTACTTCGTGACCCCATTCGCAAACATTGCTCGCCTCTCATTTGCCGCGCTTTCTCTCTCTCGTGCCGTTCCATGCGTGACTCTGCCTCCCGGCAGGCAAGATAAGTGCCCACCCTGATCCAGCACAACCAGCCGCCGCCGTCGCGAGGGGCAGCACGACAACGAGAAGATATGTTCTCTTTCCTCAACCTTCAGAATTTTAACTTCGATTTTGTCGGAGACTCGATCCCCAACAGCGGGCGCACCGGCAAGAAGAAGACCAGCAGCAGCAATGGTAAGAGAGAGTCTGGCAAGCAGCTCTGGCTCTGGGAGTCGCACGGGTCCTCCTCCTCCTCGCCGACGGCCAACAGCACGGCCAACATGACCCCGAGGACCGAGCCCGTCGTCACCCCGCCGCCGAAGAGGGCGCCGTTGGATTGCCCCGCGGCTCGCCGCCCGGAGACGGAGAGGGCCAAGCGGCGCTCCTTGTCGCAGCAGAGCGCGGTGCGCAACAACACCAACGAACACCGGCGCTCGTCCGTGTTCTTCAGGCTCCCGGACCTCGACAAGATCCTCAAGGGCGACAACGCCAACAGCAGCAGCTCAGCAGAGGCCGCCGCCGCCGGCAGGAAGAAGGATGGGCGCCGCGCCAGCAGAAGCGCCAACGGTGGCAAGGGTCACCACCAAGGCATGGGCGGCGACGGCGGGGACTTCGGGCACAGCCTCGCGGCCAAGCTCAGCCGGCCCGTTTCGGGCCGCAGGCGCGGCCGTCGGGCTTCCGTTGCGCCCGGCGGTTCCTCGCCCGGGCGTACGAGAGCGGATCGCTTAGCAGCAGCGGAAGAGGAAGCAAGGAACGCCGCGGCGGCGGCGGCGGAGAAGTCAACGTGCGTGTTGGATGATGAAGAGTCTCAAGAAGGTTCGGCTGGTACCGCGCCTGCGGCTGCTGCGGCGGGGGGAGACGAAGGACCACCGTTCTTCGAATCGAAACGCGACAGCTTGCTGCTGACCGTTGGGGAGGAGGAGGAGGTGCTGGCGCCGGCTGCTGCAGCAGCAGCCGAAGGTGATGCTTTGCAGCAGCAGCAGCAGCAACAGGATGGTCGCTCGAGGGATCAAAAGCGGCCGTCCCCAAGATCTTCGCCGAGAGCTCTCAGCGCCGGCCACAGGTATTCGGATGATGTTTAGATTTTATGCATTCTATTATTCTATTCCACAAGTATGTGTCTCTCTGTTTTTTTTTTTTTATATGCGTCATATACTAGTAAATAGTCTAGCGTAGTCCCCCTGTCCGATGTTCGAGATCTTTCGTTTCTACGAGCATGATGTATTGCGCATTTACACTTACGTCACCTCTCGGAATCTTGAATCTTGAAAGCGTACGATGGATGGATGCATGCATGCATGCACCCCCACTTACTCGCCTATTGTGTACTGCTTATCTGCTTCAATTGGCCGTTGTTCCTTTCGTTGGTGATGGAGCTGACCTGCTGCAGTTGCAGTTTTGCGCTTTGGCTTTCTTCAAGATCGTTGGCCTGTACCTGTACATACCCACCCCATCAATGTTCGATTCCTTCGGAACAAAGATTTTTTTTTCAAATTTCAAACTTGCGTCTTCCCCGATGCTGGGTGACCGACCGACCTTGTCGTCCTCGCGTGCATGCACGCATGCATGTTGCATAACCTGTGAGAAAACGTCAAATTTGAGCGGACCTGTGCAGAACTGCTGCTGTGTACTGGACTTTGGTGTCGTGGCTCAGGGCTGTTGTTGCTGTAGGTGCAAGCAATACTAGCTATGCATACCATCAACAGGAAAAATACCATCCACAGGAGTGAGTGTCGGTTGCACGCCTGCCTCTGACCAAGATTTTGCATGTGAAATCCCGTCGGCAAGAATCAAATGTTGTACAACCGGTCGTTGTTGCCTCGTCATGGACGAGTGGATGGATGATGGACCGGCCTTCCCCAACGTTCGAGATCGCGCTTTCATGTGTTCCATGCACATGATGTGCACAATATCGAGCACGTATCTACTTGTTCATGCTTTTGTGTGAAGAATTGGTTCTTGCTTGAAAGAGGACGGCTGAACCCTAACCAGTCATTCTGGCGTAAGGCTCGCGCCTCGGACAAAAGTTCTTTTCGTGTGACCCTCCTGGATCGGAGATTTCGGTTACATCAGAGGCGATGGTGACATTTTCGATTTTCGACCTGGGGTAGGGTTGTTGATCCACCACCCCGCGGTGCTCGTCTTCACGTCGCTCCAGCTCCTCGGATAGGTAGCTCTTTCAGCTGAAGCCATGTAGCAACAACCGAAAGGAGCTTGACGAGAAGCTGGAGCAGCATCAAGACAGGCGCCGCGTAATCGGTGGATCAAAAATTAAATCCCAGATCAACGACCCAGGCCGCAAGGGTACAGCAGTACCAGTGGTAGTTGGTTTAACTTGGAGCGGTGTCAGTCAGCCTTCTGTCTTCTACATATGTACTCCTCCCACGATACCCAAGAGTCCGATACACAACATGACCACCAAACCGTCTCGCGAGGTTGCTGCACAACAACCCAGCAGCGGAAAATGTGAATGCTGCTGTTAATACGCGAGCATCAGTAGAAACACGGGCGAAGCATAACGCGCTTTTGACCCCCATGCGGAGCTAGCTTTTCCTGAACGCTGTCTCTCTGTCTACGGATGATGGAGATGATTTCCATGATGTTTCTGGAAGGAAACTATGAGAACATTTGTGGTCGAGAAGAACACGCTGCTATTTATACAACATGATTCTTCCCTCGAAGAGTACAAACAAACCCTTACGCTACGCTACGACCGTCGTCCTGAAGAGAGATTCCCTTCTGCTACACAACACAACGTTTCGATATTTCCCAACAATTGACTGAAACCACTAGTATGTAATTCTCTGGTAGCATGCATTCCCTACTAACCCCGCCCCCCCAACCCCCCCCCCCCCCCCCAAACAAAAAAACGTTCTGAAGGCGCGAGTCCTGCCGCGACGGTCGAGTCATCAGCCGCACGCCCAAGGGCCTCTCCGCCGCGCGCCTGCTCGAAGACGCCCAGGACGTGGCCCGCATCCGCAGCCAGGCCGGCCTCCGCTCCAAGATGGAGGGGTTTTGTTGGATCGCGAGCAACTGGTGCGTGGGCGCCCTTAAGGGGTTCTTCAGCGCCAAGAGTTTCCTGTTCTTGTGCGACAACTTTTTTTGGGCCGAGTTGCGGAAAGCCGACCGCCGTTGCAGCATCGCGGCGGGCAGCTTTTTGAGCGGGGGGGGGGGGCAAGGCGGCACTACTCGCAAGCAAGGTACGTGTAGGGAAGAGGATTTCGGGGGGGGGCGGGCGTACTCATGTTGTTGCATGGCATGCCTTTTGAGCGGTGGTAGACCATACCCACGGGGAGGGGGGGGAGGGGTTACGAAGAATCTGGTGCGTTGTGGGGGTGTTGGTTGTTTCTGGGGTGGAACTGATCCAGCCAGCGTGGGCGGGGGCAATACACGCTTTGGATGCCTGCGTGTAGTATGATGCTGCACTCACGCTTGAACATTTGCTTTCGGTTCCGCCTAGGAAATTCTGCCCCCCTTGCTGAAAGGTCCCATGCCTCTCGTCTAGGCGTGTATCTGGTACATTCAATAGCCTACCAGCTTTGCATCGTAATATTTACTCGCGAGGAGCTTGCGGCAAGCACACTGCCTTCGAAGTCTCTCGAAACATTGAACAAAAAGAGCAGCAGCGAAGCGTTGGGTTTGTATTCGTGGAAGTCCCCTCTTTAGAAGCTTGCTTTTCCTAAGGCAAAGTTTCTTGGAGTTGCCGGGAGAGTGGCTACGTCTGTCACCCCTCAAGCACCTCATCTTGCCACGCACAAATGAATCCAACGCTGGCATGGCACATTTATGTTTGTTTTCTCCGACGGCTCACTCACCCCTCCCCCCCCCCCCCCCTCCGCTCTCCCTTCACGTTCGAACCCAAAAAAACACCCCCATAAATACACAGCGGCCGGCTTCATGCCACTCATCGCCTTGGAAGGAGCCGCCATCCAGCACTGCGAGGTGGCTAACTCCAACAACGGGTGGATCATTGAGGTGGTCAACCCGAGCGAAAACGTTACCCTCTGGCTCGATCCGGAGAACGCGACGGCCCTCCTGAGGTGGGGCTCCGTGCTGTGCCAGGCCCTCCAGACGGAGAGATACGACGGGGAAGAGGACGAGTAACAAGAGTGGGGTGGTCGGTCAGTCAGGGAACAGACAGATGGGTGCCGTGTCCGGCGGGGGAGGGACGAGCGTCGGTCGAAATAGGGGAGGCCGAAATAACCGGTCGGTAGAGGACATGAGCAAGGAAGGAGGCTTTTTTCAAGTGGGGCGAAGAGGCAGAAAGGACCGGTCATGGTAGTGGACAACAGCACGGAGAGGAGGTTTGTGTCGAGGGGGGGGGGAGACGCAGCAAGTACGGGACGGGAGAGGACAAGGGCAAGGAAGGAGGCTTTCTGTCGAGTGGGGGAGGGAGAAGCGGTACGTCATAAGACAACGGCGACGAGAGGAGGCTTTTTTTGTCGAGGGCGGGGAGAGGCAGAAATTGGACTGCCTGGTCCACGTACACGGCGGGAGGAAGTATATATAGAGTACTGTGGGTTTCGTACAGATCGCTTTCTCCAGTCTCAACAAGTGTTTTTTTTAGGACTCAAACCATCTTTTTATGGGTGTAGTTTTTTGGGGCGTAGAGGACTGCTGTGTTAAGCTGCAAATGCTTCCGGGGACATGAAGACCAAGTTGGCTCGTTCTCCGTTATCATTTCATAACCCGCCCCTCTTTTGAAACATTCTTCCGGGGGCATGGACGGAAGGGGCGGCAATCCTCTCTTGGTTGTCGTTCTTTAGTTTGTGGATTTTTCTGGTTAGTGTTACAATACGGCGTAGAATAAGTTGAGTAGTAAGTTTCAGGGAAACTCTCTCCTCTGTGTTTTTTGCATGTCATGATTATTGTGTGGTGTTACAATTTTTCAATGTGTTCGGTCGGTCAACCAGCTAGGAACGAGCCTACTACCCCTTGAGGGGGGAGTGCTGTTGCTATTGCTGTTCTTGTCCAATTTTCATGGGGTATGAGGTATGGGGTTGGCGGTGTGCTCCCAGAACTGCGGTGTG